CTCCTTAGAATCCTCATGACTACCTTGATTCGAGTATGGATCATGTGCTTCCAATAGTACGGACCCAATACTACCTTCCACAACTATACATACTTTCCTCAAGAATCATTGTTGGAAATATTTTTATGTGATTGTCACTTGAAATAAGTTGAGTATTGATTAAAATTTTCTAACAAACATTATTAGAAAGTTTCAGGTTGGAAAGATCCTAAAGATTCAACAAGTGTTTGAAGAATTAGATGTTGGAGCACTTGAAGTTCACTTGGAGCACTTGCTGTTCACTTGGAGCACTTAAAGTTCACTTGGAGCGCTTGCAGTTCACATGTAGCACTTGTTGAACATGGAGCACTTGCAGCTTACATGGAGCACCTATTGAAATGAAGTTGGATCATCATGATCTCAGGTGGCACATCTAGATCATATGTGGAGCATGAAGATACTGGTGGGTCATTTGGAATATCGATGTCTCATTAGAAACATTATTGGCTCATCCATAAATCTAGGGCTCAACAAGACATTGATAGATTAACATGCATATTTTATGGCTCAAATCAAGTCAATGGATCAACATTATCACATTGATGGCTTAACAAGGTTGCACATGAATCAACATGTGTAATGAAGGCATGTCCAAATGCTCAAAGGAACATGAATATCATCCATGGTCCATCTTGAACACACAACTTGATCAACAACACTTCTGGAAGTTGATGACATCTTAGAAGACACTTGAGCAATATGATGCTCATATCATTAGCTTTTCCAAAGCCTATAAATAGACCCCTTGGTATCTATTATAAAGTTGCTCTTCCTGGCTCTTCCTTGCGCATTCCAGATCATTTTGCACAATTGCTACTTAGACTAGCTTTATGTGAGCCATTTAAGTGTTTTAGCTTGTGTATCATTCAAACACTTGTAACTGATTCTTGATGAATATGAGCAACTTTTGAATCATTGATATTGAACATTTAAAAATGTTTTTATCATTAACATGGTGATTTACAACTCTTTATTTACCGTATTACTTTCCACTTGACAAATTCTGAAACTCCGTTTCAGTATTTTCAATACTTGGACTATTCTAGTCTAGGTTTACTGAATTATTCTCATTTCATCAGTTGGTAACAGAGCTCGAGTGATCGAATTTGAGATTTAGAAAACTTTTCAAAAAAATATTTTTTTTCATGTTTCAAACTAGTATCACATGTTCTAAATGGCAAGTGTGAATCAAAACCAAAATGTTCTCTATTCAGTTTCAATTGCAAATAATCTTTGCGTAGGAAATCGTGCACCTATCCTTCTACCCAGTGAATATACTTCATGGGTAGGTCGCATCAAGTACTAACTGGAAGGTCACGACTCTAACATCTGGATGTTCATCTCCACTCGGAAACATACTGCAAAATTTCTGAAGGGCATCAGAGTTCCTGAAGTTGATGTCTCTCCTGAAACCTACAAAGTTATCTCTGGATCTGTTTCCTCTACTGCTCAACTTTGTGAGAGGAAAATCAAGAAGTTTGAGGCTAAGGAAATGCAAGATCTTTTATTTGGAACTCCTCATGACATCTATGAGAAACTTCCTGATGAAGACAAGAGTTCACCCTTCAACGTCTGGAACGCACTCAAGAAAGAGTTTGAGGGAACTGACAAAATCCTTGCAAATAGGAAGAAATCCGCATTAACAGACATGGAGAACTTCAAGATGTTACCTTATGAAACTCTCTTTGATGCATATTCTAGGTACATCATTGTTGTCAACAGGGTGAAGAAGCTCATAGGTGAAAGATCGCAAGAGCATTTCAATATATAATTGTTGAATAGTCTATGTCCTAAATGGGATACAGTGTACATGATCATACTGCAAACTACAACCAATCTAGACACCATGTATCTGCTTGATCTGTATGCTGAATGTGATCGAGGTCGTTGTCTTAATCAAAAATAATATCAAAAAACCACTAGATAGCTAAGGTAACTAAAGGTCGAATCCACAAGGAGTTTGTGGTTAAACCTTGTGTTAAAATAGTCAAATGGAAAAACTAATGCTTGCAATTGTCATGAATTCAAATTAAACTAAAATAAACTAAACAACTAGAAACTTTATGTTGAAAAAGTTTGTTAAAACAAATACTACGAATGAGAAAACAAGGTACTTCCGGTTTAGTTGTTCAGATGGTTAGACATACACATTTTTCTTCCCTTAAAATCCAGTTTAATTACCTAGACATAATTAAGGTTGATTAACATGCAACAAATAATTTTGAGCACACAGTATGTTATCCCAATTAGCTGTCGTACTCTCTATGTCTAATTGGATTAGGAACAACTAGTGCTTTGGAAATAATGTGTCTTACTATTACCTATTACAATGTTTAGTATATAATACTATAAATTCAGTATAATGTATGTGGGTTCAACTGATCATCTTAGTTCCTAAACTACTTAAATTCAGAATGATTAGTGAATTAACAATACACTATCTTAGTTGTAATATCACACAATAAGAAAACCCAACTCCAATCAATATAAGTAAAAATCATAACTTTAAGAATGAAACAATAACTTAAATTGACTAGAATAAAAGTAATGATCAAAATGTGTTCATCCTAACATCCTACAACGTTCCTGGAAGTAACCTAGGTGGTTTAGTCTTCCATAACAATAAAAAACCACACAAATTGAATAAAAACAATGGAATTCATATAAAATTCATAAACAAACTTGAAATCATAAAACTAATAAAGTCTAATGATCAATCAATCATGGAACAATGAAACCTTGGAGAAGAAGTAACCAAATCTGGAGTTTGATGGAATTGGTGATGATTCGTCGGTTGAACGATCTTCAATCCTTAAATGATGGTGAACTTGATGATTCGTAGCCTCGGATTTGGAAATTTATGATCAAGAAGGAATTTAGAAAAGGTTTGGAACCCTCCAAAACTGGTGAAAATCGCAGGGGAGAAGTCCAATTTCGATTAAGGTTAAGTCTCCATTATATAGGTGCTGAAAAACTGATTTTCGGAGATGTTTTACGCGTCGACATCATAGTGGGCGTCTTAGTTGTCATATAGGATGTGCGAGCGTACTTCGTGGCGTTTTACAGGCTTTCTATCATCCTTGATTTGCACTTGAAAATGGCTTAAAACGGTTAGGCATCCTAGGTGGCGTCTTGGACGCGTTCTAGGATGTCCCTAATCTTTGTTGCCCCTTTTTGGTGATGAAAAAGGTAGAATCAGTAAAAACACAAAACATGAAAGTTGTAGGAAATTTTTTCTAGTTTTAGAACTTGTTCGTTCATGTCAATTGGAGCCGTAGATCATTAGTTATGATCAAAACATTTAAGAGTGGTCAAATTTCGCAGCACCCTTTTTCTTCATTCTTTTAGCAATTCGTCTCTCATACTTGTTAGCTTCATTTTTCTCATTTTTCTTGCGGGTTCCGCACACTTTTTAGTACAATATATTGACCTGCATATGAATTCCAACAACTCATCAAAGTAGTTCCATTCTTGGACAATTATTCATCAATTCAACAGATTTATGACAATTTAGTACATTGATAAAATACACTTATCAAACCTCCTAACTTTATTCCAAACTCTTTCCGAGATTGGCCTGAAATATCAGCGTAGGCTTAATCTCTCATCCTAAGAAAAACTCAATGGAATCACGTATTCCATACATTTTATCACAAGTTTTTGATAGCACAATATATTGATTTTGAGGATTATTCATTTCTTATCTGCACTTTTAAACTCCAAACACATGTTATGATTATTTTATTTTGTTGTTTGAAACTCTCCACTTTTTGAACCCTTTCCAATAATCAACCTCAGGAGTAATCGGTTGAACTCGTTGCCAAAGTCCCGTTTTCAAGGTTCACTAACATAGTTAGCGCGGCCAGTAACACCTAATGGACCAACCCATACACTCCCACTATCGAGGGGCCAAATATTGTTTCACACAATGTCTTCAACTTGAACTTTTCTTCATATTTTTCAAGTTCTTTGATGGCTTCATCGAATTTGATCATCTTTGTGTTTGACTGGAGCTTGAATATAGATACTTTAAAGTTATTCAAGGTCTTTAATACTTTTTGGTTGTGTAAAAACAATAATAGTCCCCTCTTAACCCCAAAGGCACATAAGTAAGTAAGACCAAGTACTCAGAGCATGATGGCACATATTGTTCGGTTGGGTCCTCAATAGAAAGATCGTAGGCTCGAGCCAAAAACCTTCATTTTTCAAACACTTAGGTATTTCACAAAACAATTTTTAAATAAATATAAATATTTCCAAACCAACTGAGCAACCCACAAAATTCATATTAAATATATATTATGACTCGATGTATGAAACTCCTATCATTTTCCATCTTGATGAGTTACATTCAAGATATAGAGAAGCTACTAACTCATCACATATTTCATGGTGACCAACTTCAGGATAAGATAATTAAAGATAGAGTTTAAGATAGTAGTACATTCATCCTAAGTTGATTATCCAAAATAAAATTCATCAAAGTTAATGTAAAATAAATTAAAATATGGAGGACGACACACCTGATGGTACTGATAGTAGAAGCGTTTTTTATTTCCAAAAAACTTCACTAGTTGGAGGTATTTGCATAATGTTTTGTTATGCCCGAATAAACATCAAGGAATTATGATTTTTATTTAAAATGACTTTTTCTTCAATCCTCTGTCTTTTTCTTGTGTACACCTCTCCCCAACTTTAAGTCTTGCATCGTCCTTGATGCATCAAAAGATAAATTTCTAAAATAATAATAGAAAAAAAACTACAAGCACACAAATAAAATCAAATATAAAATAAACTAAACTAACTACCCCCTAAATTTCGTCGGGTCCATCCTTTTAAACCTCTAGGTTACCCCTAGTGGATGAGTGAAGTCTCGTGAGGGTTTGCAGTGAACACACCCACAAAGTTCCAAAATTTCCAAGTTTAACATCGTTAGAGGGACAAGTCACCTCGACCAATGACTATGGAGGATCATATGTTCGTTGACTTCCTTGAAAGCCAACCATGAGGTTGCTCACCTTACTTTGAGGAACCAAATCATGTGGCAAGCCTTTTTTGGCCTTGTGTAAATCAACTATTTTGCGTTTAATCTTTCCACGATGACGCTTAAACCTTGATTTGAACAGCCAAGCATAACTTTTATTAATGGACTTCTTGAATTGATGTTTGGTATCATGAAACATCTTCATGTTTGATTTGTAGGAAAGCATGCCATCATGTTTCATGGTCCATAATTTTCTCTTCACTTGTTGACACGCGATCTCATTCAACTCTATTAACCTGTGACAAGGTAAAGGTTTCTCCAAATCGTGGGTGGTGTCATAGAGCATATTTGCGGTATCCTCGTACACATAATCATCAACAGTATTGATTACAAACAAGTCATTACTTATTGGAGGATCATTAGTAGGTCCATATAACAGGAGTCTCAATTTATGTTTTCCAAATATCATATCAATTGCATCTTCCCGACAATGAATCAGAGCATAGATGGTTTCCAAAAGGGAAGATCAATGATTACATTTGTGTGTTTGTATTTGCAAATTTTTTAAGAATCTATTGCAACTTTGGACACTTCCAACTCATGGAAATCTTCATTATACTTATCTAATTCAATTTCAACTTCTTTAATTTTAGAAATACTTTCAGTCTCTTGATCATTTAAAGATACATAATCCTCCACCACAAGCTCTAGTTCGGGTGGTGTAAGTTTATGCACTTTGTTATCAAATAATTTATGACTACATGGAAAAGTTACCTCATTCACCAACGTAGTGTCTGAAAGATTGTCTGAAAATTGTTGATTTAGTTTCTCGGCTATATGTTCTAATTGTTTCTCAATAACTGAAATTGACTTCAAGTTGTATTCTTCTTTGTTGAAGGTTTCATTCAACATGTCCAACATTTGATCCAATTTCTTGCTAAACGAAGATTCAATTGATTATTGGTCCTCTAGAAATAAGGTGATTCATGGTGTTGGCTTTAAGTTAAATCGTCAGCCCACCAACAATCATCATCATATGGATTAGCATTATGTGACTCATAGTAGATATCATTATAATATTGATATTGGCCTGAATTTTCTCTCTCCCACCACATATCTTGATTCATGTAAATGTATTCCTCCATTCACGACTGTCCCTACAAAAAAAAAAAAACAATAAAAGAGTGAAGATTCTGAACTAGAAATAAAACAAGACAAAAAAAAATGTAATGACTACTTCAACACAATTGTTTAAGTGCACAATCTCCTTGGCAACGACGCCTAATTTTGATCGAGATCGTTGTCTCAATAAAAAATAACCTCAAAAACCACTAGATAGCTAGGGTAAGTAAGGGTCGAATCCACAAGGAGTTTTTGGTTAAACCTTGTGTTAAAGTAGTCAAATGGAAAAACTAATGCTTGAAATTGTCACGAATTCAAATTAAACTAAAATAAACTAAACAAGTAGAAACTTTATGTTGCAAAAGTTTGTTAAAACAAATACTACGAATGAGAAAACAAGGTACTTCCGGTTCAGTTGTTAAGATGGTTAGACTTACACGTTTTTCTTCCCTTAAATTTCAGTTTAATTACCTAGACATAATTAAGGTTGATTAACATGCAACAAATAATTTTGAGCACACAGTATGTTATCCCAACTAGCTATCGTACTCTCTGTGTCTAATTGGATTAGGAACAACTAGTGGTTTGGTAATAGTGTGTCTTATGATTACCTATTACAATGTTTAGTATATAATACTACAAATTCAGAATAATGTATGTGGGTTCAACTGATCATCTTAGTTCCTAAACTACTTGAATTCAGAATGATTAGTGAATTAACAATACACTATCTTAGTTGGAATATCACACAATAAGAAAACCCAACTCCGATCAATGTAAGTAAAAATCATAACTTTAAGAATGAAACAATAACTTAAATTGACTAGAATAAAAGTAATAATCAAAATGTGTTCATCCTAACATCCTACAACATTCCCGGAAGTAACCTAGGTGGTTTAGTCTACCATAAAAATCAAAAACCACACAAATTGAATAAATAGAATGGAATTCATATCAAATTCATAAAAAAAACTTGAAATCATAAAAATAATAAAGTCTAATGATAAATCAATCATGGAACGATGAAACCTTGGAGAAGAAGTAACCAAATCTGGAGTTTGATGCAATTGGTGATGATTCGTTGGTTGAACGATCTTCAATCGTTAAATGATGATGAACTTGATGATTCGTAGCCTCTTATTTGGAAATTTATGATCATGAACGAACTTAGAGAAGGTTTGGAAGTGTTTGGAACCCTCCAAAACTGGTGAAAATCTCAAGGGAGAAGTCCAATTTTGATTAAGGTTAAATCTCTTTTAAATAGGCGCTGAAAAACTGATTTTCGGAGTTGTTTTACACGTCAACGTCATAGTGGGCGTCTTCGACGTCATATAGGACGTCCGAGCATCCTTCGTGGCATTTTACAGGCTTTCTGTCATCCTTGATTTGCACTTGAAAATGGCTTAAAACGGTTAGGCATCCTAGGGGGTGTCTTAGACGTATTCTAGGACGTCCCTAATCTTTGTTTCCCCTTTTTCGTGACGAAAACGGTAGAATCAGTAAAAATGCAAAAGATGAAAGTTGTAGGAAATGTTGTCTAGTTTCCAAAACTTCTTCGTTCATGTCAATTGGATCCCTAGATCATGAGTTATGATCAAAACATTGTAGAGTGGTCAAATTTCTCAACACCATTTTTCTTCATTCTTTTAGCAATTCGTCTCTCATACTTGTTAGCTTCATTTAGCTCGTTTTTCTTTCGGGTTCTGCATACTTTTAGTATAATATATTTACCTGCATATGAATTCCAACAACTCATCAAAGTAGTGCCATTCTTGGACAGTTATACATAAATTCAACAGATTTATAACAATTTAGTACATTCTTAAAATAGACTTATTAGAACTGCAACAACGTGAGCCAAAAGTTAACAAGCTAGATCAAGTAACTCCATGATAATCAAGGAATTGCCTTGGGTAATTCAACATCTATGGAAAATCATTCTCAAAACTTGATTGCACATCATAATCCAATTCTAAACCACGTTGCTGATCAGTTTACCAACCAAAGATATGGAGTGTATCCTTATCAAAGTTCAAGTATGGCTCAATTATACAATCAGAATCCTTACATACCAACTCAACAAAATCTTCTGATAGCAAATGGGTACATGGCAAATCATCAAGCTTTCATTAGCATCACAATGGAATCTCCTCAAATCAATGAGGAAAAGGAGTATGAAGAATGTATGGAACTCCTGACAAAGTTCAATCCAAAATTCAAGAAGTTTATTAACAAGCCAACTGGGAACTTCAGAGCACAAAGTTATCAGCTACCCTAACACTATCATCAGAACTCTAGAAACTTCCAAGGAGGAAGCATAGTAAAAAAATCATCAACTCTCAAAATTCAAATTCTAAAAGTTACAACTCTTAGAGGACGAAAACAAGGGTGGAAGATAACAAGTCAATGTCCTTTGATGATAATGAAGCGATCAGGTGCCACAACTGTGAAGGTGAAAATCATTTCGCAAATGATTTCAAAATGAAGACCACGAAGGTTAAAGATGAAACATAATACCCTCAAAAGGCAGAACAAATCAAGAACCAGTCAAAAGATAGTTTTCATGGTCATGGAACCTCCAAATGTGGAAGTCTAGGAAACAAGAGATGAAGTGGATCAGGCAGAAGAAACAGGAGGCCTACAAAAACTACTTCATCTTTATGGTAGATTATGACAAATAGCCTTCTCGTCTTCATCAACAAGTTTTTGAAAATGTACACTTTGTGCTTCGTAATAATCATTTAACTAATAAGCCTTTTCTTGATTACATTGACCATATTTTTGAAATACTTATGTCACCAATGTTGAATATTGTGTCAGTTACTACAAAGTTAAACTAACCGAAACTCAGTTTAGACTTGAAGAATTGAGATGTAGTATGGCTAAGTTAGAAAATGACCATGCAATCAAAACTGGGGCACATCTTACATCAGTTGAATAGTATGAATTTTTTTTGAATCAACATGACATTATTGCAAACGGCAATCATGAGATGTACGCCCAAATCAATACAAAAATCAATAGTTATAAGGCATCCAAAACCCTTATTGAACATAACTCACATGCCATTCTTAAGGGACTAAAACCATCATGGATCAATATATGGTCTTGGTTATGATGAAATGAACAAGGAAATCATGGATCTCAGTAATCAACCAGAGTTGTTACCATGTGATCCAAGTCACTTCAATGGAGACAATAAGGATCAAGAAGAGGTGGTAACTTGCAGTCCTGATGTAATTGCCAGTTCATTTCTCTTGAATGTCCCACCATTGAAAGTTTCAATTCAGAAGATGACACTTCTGAAAAATCAAATATCCCTGACTCAACATCTAGTGATAAATGCCCAAATCATGAGTTAAGAGGATATTGCAAGATTGAACCCATTGAATTCCTCAGTCAAGAAACATTTCAATCATTTAATGCTTTTATTTTTGGAACAAATGACTTAGGATTTAAATATTCTAAGAAGGAACAGAATGGGAAGTCTCCAATTCAAGCCAACAAGGATGAAACCTTAAAGACTATGAGTAATGAGGTTTTTTTTGAGATACTCAAGAGATCTTCTGTTCCAATAAAAATCACCTTACCCAGTCCTAAACAGCAAGAGACAAATGTAAATACAACTAATGTCTCCAAAGATAAGGGAAAAGAGAAAATTGATGTCTCTAAAAAACAAGGTCCAACTGTAGTCCATCCTTCAAAATCCAAAGTGGTTAAGGATACAGATAATGACATGGATAGGAAAACCAAGAGTGTACCTAAGCATAAGCCAAGCCAAGGGAAGAATACACATACAAGTCCTCCCAAAACATCAAGGACTCAAAGAACCTCTCCTTCCAATCATTGTTTCTCAAATTCTTGATTTCCAAACCAAACTGGAATTCACTATCAGAATAATTTCAAGACTAACAATATTATGAATTTGTCTGAAATGATGAGACCAAGACCTATTCAAACCAACCCTTTCATGTATCAGAATAGTAATTACCCTATGAGTTCTATTCTTCATCCATATTGTGATTATTCTCCATCCATAGCATGGAATCACAGGATGGAATCACAAATGTAAATACAACTAATGTCTCCAAAGATAAGGGAAAAGAGAAAATTGATGTCTCTAAAAAACAAGGTCCAACTGTAGTCCATCCTTCAAAATCCAAAGTGGTTAAGAATACAGATAATGACATGGATATGAAGACCAAGAGTGTACCTAAGCATAAGCCAAGCCAAGGGAAGAATAGACATACAAGTCCTCCCAAAACATCAAGGACTCAAAGAACCTCTCCTTCCAATCATTGTTTCTCAAATTCTTGATTTCCAAACCAAACTGGAATTCACTATCAGAATAATTTCAAGCCTAAGAATATTCTGAATTTGTCTGAAATGATGAGACCAAGACCTGTTCAAACCAACCCTTTCATGTATCAGAATAGTAATTACCATATGAGTTCTATTCTTCATCCATATTGTGGTTATTCTCCATCCATAGGATGGAATCACATGTGTGGGGGAAACTCTAGGTTTCCAATGATTAATCAGTTTAGGCAGAATACCCAGTTTCCCATGTTCGATTAATTGGAATACATGTGAACTTTCGATTTCCTTCTCTGGGAATTCCTACTCATTTCACCAACCCACACTCTTTCCCACAAACCTTACCTCAAAAGCAGTCTTCTATTAAATTTAAAACCAAGGTCACTAAAAACAAGCAAAACCCAAAGAGGTTAACGCAAAACATGAAAAGACTTTCCCAACTCCCACAAGTCCGAAGGAAGCTAGCACTCAAGGACCCAAAC